AACAGTGGATAGACTATGAAAATTTACTAAATTTACAAAATTTACATGCAATTACTTCTACTCAGGGGGAAAAAAACCTAAAATACATTTTGTGGGTGGTTGACAAAACTCTTAACATTCCCTGTTGGCTGTGAATGCTAACAGATGCTTGGATGAAATATGTGCTTTAAAGTTTAATTACCTAGATAATTGCAGTAACCATTTAGTTGCTTTTCCCATTTAGATCTGTCCATACAGATAATGTGCAATTAATGAGAATTAGCACTGCCAAATCATTGGGAATGTGAGTTATAAAAATATGATGCCTTATGGTCCAGACTAAACTGTATATCTACTCAATCAGTAATTAGCTATCTGTAACAAACTATGATAGAGACTACACAAACAACATAGTTCTTCTGAGCTTTTCCAGTGGACTAGGCTTTCAAACTTAGGAACTGAGAGGAATATTCAAGTGGAGGTACCTGGATGACTTCCTGAGAAAAGGTGAACTAAATCTACTTTTAAAAACTTTACTTAAGTAAAATGTACTCTTTTTGGTATACAGTTCTATGAGTTTTAATAAGTGCATAGAGTCATATAACCACCACCACAATTAAGATACAGAACATTTCCATCAATCATAAAAACTGCCTTGTGCTGCCCCTTTATTTTCAACTCCCCATGCCCACTCTCTGACAACCTCTGCACCTAGATTTGCCCTTTCCAGAACATTATATAAATGGAATCATATAGTATGTTGCCCTATAAGTGTGGCTTCTTTCACTTTTAGACAATTAAAACTCATCCATGTTGTTGCCTATATCAGTGGAATGTTATTGCTGAATAGTATTTTATTGTATGGATATACCACAGTTCCTTTATCCATTCACCAGTTGGAGGAAATATAATTTGTTCATAATTTTTGATATCTGTCCATGACCAAAGCCAACATAAATATTTGCCTGCAGGTTTTTATGTGAACATACGTTTTCGTTTCTCTTAGATAAACACCTAGAAGAGAGACTGTGGGGTCATATTGTGAGTGTATGTTTAACTTTATAAGAAACTGACAGACTTTTCCAAGGTGACTGTACATTTTGTATTCCCACTGGCACTTATCAGAGTTCTACTGCTCTCTTACACCAAAAACTGCACCTTCAACAGTTTTTTTGTTGTTTGTTTTTTATTTTTGCTGTTCTAATACTTGTGTAGAGGTAGCTCACTGTGTTTTTAATTTGCATTTCTCAAATGACAAATGATGTTGATGACCTCTGCCGTTTAATTGAGGGTATCTGCATCTTTAAATTTAATGTAATTGTAGATATATTTGGGTTTAAATCTATCATCTTGCTATTTTGTTTTCTGTTTGTCCCATCTGTTCTTTGTTCCTAATTTCTCATTGTCTGCCTTCTTTTGGTAAATTGAGGAGTCTTATGATTACATTTGATCTTCTTTGTGGGTTTATTATCTATAACTGTTTATTTTAGTGGTTTCTTTGGGGTTTATATTATAATCTTTATTTTATCATAGTGTACCTTCAAGTGAATTTTACTACTTTACATATAACATGAGAGCCTTACAGTAGTATACTTCCATTTCTCTCTTGTGCTGTTATTGGCATACATTTTAATTATACATATGCTAAGATTTCTATAATACAGTGCATCACTTTTCTTCAAAGAGTTATGTCCATTAAAGATACATAAATCATTAGGAAAAGTCTTATATATTTTTTCCATATCGTTACCATTCCTGGTGCACTTCTAACCCTTATGTAGATGCGTATTTCCATCTGGTATAATTTATCTTATAACAAAAGGAGTTCCTTTAAGATTTTTTTGTAGGATCTGATAGTTGTGAATTCTTTCAACTTTTGTGTGTCTGAAAAAGTCTTTATGACGTCTTTATTTTGAAAGATAATTTCTCTGTGTATAGAATTCTAGTTTGATGGTTGTTGTTTTACTTTCAGTACGTTAAGAATGTTGCTGTACAGTCTTAGACCATGCATTGATCTTAATGAGAAATATACTACTATCCTTCCTTTGTTCCTATGAGGAAAATAAGCCTCTTTTCTCTGGCTGGTTTTAAGATTTTCTCCTTATCACTGATTTTAAGCAGTTTGATTCGATGTGGCTTTTTGGAATTTTTTTTCATATCTCTTGTGTTTACTGTTTGACCTTATTGGATCCATGGGTTTACGGATTTCATCAGATTTTATGTAAATTTTTAACTCTTTTTGAAATATCTTTTTCTATGCCCCTACTCTCTCCTCTCCCTTCAAGTTTATTAGGCTGCTTGAAGTTGTCCCACAGTTCATTGATACTCTGTGAAGTTCTAAATTTCATTTACTCCCTACATTTCATTTTGAATAGTTTCTGTTGTTGTGTCTTCAAGTTCACTATTCTTTTCTTCTGCAATGTCTAAGTTGATATTTATCCTATCCGGGGTATTTTTCAACTCAGATATTATAGTTTTCACCTATGGAAGTTTGATTTGACTCTCTTAATATCTCTTATGTCTCTACCTAGCTATTTGAACATATGAAATACAGTTATAATAACTCTTTGAATACCTTTGTCTGCTGATTCTCACATCTATGCTAGTTCTCGGGTGGTTTCAGTTGGTTGACCCTCATATGGTTCCATTTTCCTGCTTCTTTGCATGCTTGGTAATTCTTGATGAGACACCAGACATTGTGTATTTCATCATGTTAGGTGCTCCATATTTTTGTATTCTTATAAATATTCTTCAGGTTAATTCTCAAGATGCTGTTAAGTTACTTTTAAACAGGTTGATTCTTTGAGGTCCTGCCTTCAAGGTGTTTTAGGCAGGACTGGAGTAGTGCTAAGTTTAGGGTTAATTACCCCCACTACTGAGGCAAGACCATTCTATTCTTTTTACCTGATCATCTGGCAGGTAGGAACAGACACCTTTGTTAATTATGGGAACCTTATCCTAAGTAAGTTTTAAAAATACTAGATGCATAGATGTGGTGATATGTTGTACAAAAGCCCTAGGGAGCTTTTTTAAATAAAGAAGCATGTCTATTCCCTGTAATTTGGTAGAATATATATGGATTAAAATTAAAAGCTAATTGTATTTGAATTTTAGAGAGATTTTTTAACACTTGGATTTCTTCTATTATTTTTTATTAAAGTTTATACTTTATCAATGTACTGTGCTCATTTCTGCTAATTTGTGGTAAACAAAGCATTAGAAATGCAATATTCAGTGCTCTTTTTTTAAATTAAAAAAATCCACTAAATAGTCTTCTTCCTATGATAGTTCAACATATATCACATAGTTTTTTCTAAATTATAGAGTTTAAAAATTTTGATTCGGGGAGAAGGAACTATTAATAACATAGGATAAATGATCTCAAAATCAGAGTCCTGGCAGTAGAACCAGATAGGCTTTTCACAATGTAAAAACAAAGAAAATTAATTTTTCTCATATGTTTTGGTAAAATTTCACTTTGGTAGGCGTAATGAACCTGACTAAACTGTTTTGTAATGCTTGCAGAAGCTTTGTAAAATGTGGAATATTTAATAAAAATATACATTTACTATATTGAACATATTTCAATGGTAACAGGGTTATGAGCTTTTGTTTTTTTGTAGAAAATAAGAGCACACTTGCCATAATATTGTATTATGAATATGTGAATAGAACAATTACTTAATGACTGAGGTAATTTATTAATAAGTCTAATAACACCCTTGTCCTATGATGACAACTTAAAAATTAGGTGGATCAGGGATATCCATAACACTGAAGGCTCACTCACTGAATAAAGGCTGTAGCAGGCTAGATTAAAAATTGACATAAGTATATATGTATTTGTTAGGGGAAGTGGTAAAGTCATTCTTCCACTTATTTCTTAATAATGGAGAAAGGATTATATCTGAGTTTTCGATTATGTTCTGAACTCCGACAGTTTAACGAAAAGCTACTTTTGCTAATATCTAAGAATCAGAATCTTATCAGATTGAGGTACTGTCATTTCATATTTACTTCTATACTATTAAAATTAAAATTCCTAGATGCATTTATTATTTCAAGTGGAAAATATTGTAGTATTCTATATCAGCTTTTAGAATTAAAGATGAATATGTTCATATTTTACTACTTTTCAAATATTAGCAGATATAGGAAATTGATTTAAAATGGAAGAATTTAACCTAACAACACTGTTGATATTTTTAAAACATGTTCAACGATGTCTTAATCCAGATAGAAGGAGACAGACAGCAATATATCTCTTGAACTAGAGCAGTGCATATGTCAAATAAAGGCGAACTACCAGCACCTGTGCAGTTGAATTGCTCCCTTTTCCTTGACTAAGTTAGTATGGCTGATACAGGAAATTTCCATTTATTACACCACTTTTTCCTTTAGCTCCTTTCCTGAATTTTGACCAATCTTTGCTTATTCTAGTTGATTGCTTTTTTGAAGTTTTCAAGACACTAACAGGAAGATAAATCACGAGACAAGATGCCTGATTCACCACAGTGACGTGACTTCTCAGAAACCTTCAAATACTAAATACACAATTTCTCCAAGATATAGAATACTTTAAATGTTATTATTTCCATTTTAGCAGGTGGCAGAGGATTGATTAAAATATTTGGCAAAATTGTCTGTGCAATTCAGCCCAACTCTTCCATGGTGGCTTTCATGGTAGAAGAAGTGGCCCAGCCACTAAGAGTTGAGTTCAGGTTTCAGCTATTTCAGTATCCAAAAGTATTTCCCATTCAATGTAAGTTTTCCAGTGAAGCAGCAAAGAGAGAAGATGTTGAAGCACAGAGAATTTTTTCTTTCTCACAAATACTGTGTCTATTCATCCCTATGTAGACAAATTAGATGGAGTAGAAATGATCCCAGAGGTTTATCTCAACTCCCTGCATTTAGAGAACTAGTTAGTCACAGGCATAGGGTATTCCAATATTTATGAGAAGAAAATAAATTTGCTGTTTTACTAATAGTTATTTTTTTCTCTCTGTTTTTCTCTTTCACAGACCACCACTATGCACTTATAATTTTGTACTTAAAGAAAGTGAGGAAATATTTCTCAGTCCAAATACATGCACACCAGATGAAATATAAAATGCCTTCTTCTATCAGATGTAACAACTTGTTTGTGAATTAAAGAACTTGTAAATGGAAACAACACAATTAGTATTTCTTTCAGAATGCATTGTTCAATCTGAAATTCAGATATTTCTACTTCTTGAATAAATTTTTAAGAATCAAAAATATAGAATATTTTTAAATGCATATGCTAAAGCATTCTGAATATATTTTAAAAGCTATTTATTTCTGTTTACCTTAATCAAATGTTTCTCATTGAACGTTTCCTTAATTACTTAGTATTAATAGATAATATGTCTTTAGAAGAAGAGAGAAGCTTATTGCTTCAACACACTGTCTAAATAGTATCATTCTCCGCTCAGAATGCAGTAATAAATGAATTTTTTTTAAATTTGTAAATTTATCATTTTGAGAAGTCACTTGGATTAATGTAAATCTTGTAAACATAAATACACCTTCTGTTTAGTGAGCTGTTTGGCATTTTGTAATGCTTTGTAAATAAAGGCTTTGTTTCTGTGGAGCACAATAATCTATGGGCCTGAAATCCTTAATGTCAGATCTGGGGTCTACCATTTACTAATGGTGTGATCTTGAGTAACAAAATTTACCTCACCATGTTGCAGTTACCTAAGAATCTTTGTGAAGATTGATTCAACACTTTGACTAGTGTCTGCCCATAGTGATAATAATAATAAAAATAATAACAGCTAACGCTTACATACATCACTGTATTCTTGGCATAATTTGATACTTTATATACATCAATTCATTTAATCCCTACAAAAGCCCTATGAGATTGGCCTTGTTATCTCCACTGATGAAGAAACAGAGGCACAGAAATGTTAACTAATTTACCCAGGATTGGGTAGTTGTGTCCTTATACGATTATGGCCCACTCTAACGGACTCATTTTAATTTAATCACCTCTTTAAAGACCCTGTCTCTAAATATATTCACATTCTGAGGTACTGGGAGTTAGGGATTTAACATATGAATTTTGGGGGTAAAAAGTTCATCTCATAATACCTTCTATCACTCATTAGCTCCACAGTGATGACCTTTGTGTAATGACATTTGAAGGTGAATTGGGACCATTATTGGTGCCTACCTGGAAAACACTGACGTGTAAGACCCTTGATGTATTATATGTGTGTTCCAGGCAGAAACAAGTAGAAGGCTCTTCACATTTTGCTTAGGGATTTAAGCAGTGCTGCCTGCACCTCTACTGTCTGTCAGTCCTTCTTGAAAATAGCTCCTTCAGGTTCTGCCTCAGCCCTTCACTCTACAGGCCTCTGACTCCAAGCAATAGATACTTCTCTCTCCTCTCTGTCACTTGGGCATTTGCTCACAAACTTCCCACATTCTTAAACAAAACCACGGACGCTTATGTAATTTCACTTTTCTAATCCCCCTCAAATAGTTTGTCAGATATCCCCAGAAATTTTGAATCTCAGTTTGTGACATTTAAAATTAAATAAAATGCATTCGAGATACGTTCCTAGGGGCAGAAATCCTGCTCCAGTATTTGTGACTGCTTAGGACCTCTGGGTAGCAGAGAAACAGTACCCGACTTGTCCCACAGCACATTAAATTAGGGCCCTGTAATCATCGTAAGAAAACTTCCTTGTCATAAGTGATGGAATCTTTCACAGATAAGTTGAAGATATAAACTTATGAAATGTTTATAGGTTTTCCTATTGCATTACCTTCACCAGTGTCCTAATACCCTCTACTTTTTTTAAGATGAACAATGAAAGGAAACCTTTGGAGCCTGTCTTCAGGGTGAGGGAAGTAAACTCCTCTGATCCACAAGTCTTCAAGCAATACTTTTAATCATCTTTGTTTTTTTCCAAATTTGTAGAAATCATAGATCAAAAATAGTAGTAAGAGGGAAAAAATTAACTGTTTGAACGACTGTGATGAAGCACAGGTATTTTTATAGCAATTATCTAGGACAACAGAAGGAACAGATAGCCATTACGCACAAAATGCGTTACACCAGGCTGCTTTGAAGACATGCTGCTCTGGGTCAGATACAGAAAGCTACAGAGAGAGGAGTTGTTTAAGTTCTTTATCCTTCAGGATGCCTACTTGGCATGCGTCATAGTCTCGAACTCAACATTGTCGTTCAAAGTCCTCTCAACAACATATAGTGTATTTTTAAGTTAATTTGAGGATTTATCTAATTAAATAACATGTTCCATATTTTACTGATGTGCCCTCTTTGTGTTTCCATTGAATAATAAACATTTTATTAAAAAAATAAATCCCCAACACAGCAACAAATCATACTTTGCTACACAAAATAGTTGACTGAAATTTTAAGTGGACATAATCAAAGGGCAACTAGATTTTGTTTGTTTTAACAAACTACAATTTAAAAAAATTGCACCATTCAGATAAGTTGCAATACCAATCTAATTTACTGGATAATTGTTTAATTGTGTGTGTGTGCCCATTATTGACAAGGCACAATTATGTAAGCTTACAATCAGCCGTAATCATAAAAGTGTTGTCGCGAGTCATAACATTTATGGTCTATGCATTAATCCTGTTTTTTCTAATAATAATAATAGCAAGTACATAATGAGTAATTACTATATGCCAGTCTGTGTTTTAAGTCTTTCATTTGCAATATTTCATTTAGTCCTTACAAATGCCCTATCAGGTATGTTATTTTATCACCTTCAGTGACTAAGGGGAGAAATAGAAAAAAAAAAAAATCCTTCAGACTATTACTTTCAATACTTGAAAGATATATTTGTTGTGTTTTGATAGTTATCTATTGGGTATTTATTAGGCATCCTGTAAATGTTTGTGAATGGGTGAACAGGAAGTCAAATGCTCTCAATAAAAAGCACAGGACAAAGGGGGAAGCCCGGCCCTGAGAAACTGTGATGTGGCCAGTGAGTGCCTGCCAAAGCCATGAAGCTTGCTGCACGGGAACATCCCAGCAAGTCATAAGACACATGTGCTGGTTTTCTGGTCTGTGCTTTCAGGATCTTAGGATGAAGATGCTGCTAAAAGTTACCAAATACCTGAATCCTTCCCCAAGATAGTATAACCTGCCTCTCCAAGTGGCATAAACAGAATTGTCAGAGGACATTAGGGGATGCCATTGGAGTTATGAAATGTAGGACTTCAGTGCACAGAGAGCATTTTCATTCATAATTTCTTTTATCCTATGAACATGTGGTACATGAAAAAAGAAGGATATATGGGAGGTTGAACAGCTGGTTATGCAGATGGTGTTGATGAGTTGAATTTGGATTTCTGTACCATGGCTTGAGTTTCTGGAATGTGAGGCTCTTGGCTGGGGGTAGGATTACATATCTCACAGGGACATGGAACAATGTGTTTGCATGTAGGCTAGCAGTCATGATTAAAGTGCTTTAAATGGAACATAATATTGCAGAAAGTGTTTGAAGATTCAAAGCAACAGATCATTCACCCAGATTCACTAGGACCCTTTGAAAACTCTTCCAGATTTCCTATTGATCCCCATCAGCACCTTCCAGCTCTTTAACTCAGGTTTACCCTTGCACCTTCCTTCACGCTTGGGCCCTTTCTTGGCCTTTTCCATGGTTAACTTGTTATCTCTCCCAAACTCACTCCTTCCTTTGCTTTTGCCTCCTCCTCTGTTCCCCAAAGATGCTATTTCATGTCTCTGTTACAGCATAGGGTATTATAACTCTTTGCTTACTTGTTCATATCCATCACTAGAATGTGATCTTCCTGAGAGTAAGGAATTTTGTGTTATATATACATTTTTGTATTTTCAGGGTCTAGGTGAATGCCTGGTTTGTTTCAGGGGCTCCATAAACATCTGTTGGATGATAAATGCAAAATTAAATATATGAAGCAGTAAGTTTCTTTTTGGCTTAGCTGGGTAGGAGTGGGCAGACACCAATGATTGCTGGCTACTTAGAAGAACAAAATGTTTCAAGTGGTTCTGGTTAGAGATCAGAGAGCCCTCACGAAGATAATTTAAGATTATTTTTGTCTTACATTCTTTTCTAAGAATGCAGTAAAACCAGATTTGATTTTAATATTAGACCATGTTAGTCAAGACAATTATAGTATTTAAGAATAATTTGCATTTAGAATTAAAAAGTTCTTTTACATATATTGTTAAAGTATTAAAATATTAACATTCTAAACACAGATGAATTATAAATTTTAGGTTTTTCCTTAATAACTCTCTGGGAAAAGAAACAATTTGAAGGTTAAAAAAAAAAGTCTACTGCAGGCATAGATCCTGAAATCATTGGAACTTTGTCAGTGGAACCTGTCCTAAGTTTTCAAAGGAGTTTTTACTCTCTAATATTTATTAGTGTTGTGTTTCTTTTTAACACTTGGTAGTAGAGGTGTTTAATTAGGAAAATGTCTATGGAAAAAGCTTTTTCAAGATAAGAGTTGTCAAAATTAATGAAGAGTGAAGAACTAGAAAGTGGGTTTACTCCTAGCAGAATACTCTTTAAATGGGGGATATGGGATGAGAAAGAGAGAGAGTGACAAAGAGAATCAGAATTTATTAAAAGTAATATTATTTTAATGTTTAAAGTAAATGTATTCTCAGAACCATGTGACCTGGGTCACTTCCCACAAGAAACTTTCCATCTAAATGCCAAGATACAGTTTTTGTTAAATAATGAGTTACTGAACATAGGGACTATCTTATTTCAACCTTATTTTCCCACAGCCTGTACCAAAAAACACTTGATCAATATTTATAGATTTGAATATAGGCACAGTCTTTCACATATGGTAAATGAAAATTATTTGAAAGACACCCCAGTGTTAGGGTGCTGGCAACCAACAGTGCTGGATTCACCCTTATCTCCCTTCCCATTGAACGAGTCAAGGAAATACACAGAATCTAGGTTTGAAAATCTCTGCAATCTAGGAAAACTGTTCACAATCTTCCAAACTTCAGGAGGAAACTATGATAATCAAAGTCAAACAGGACACTGAGGCAGACAGTTGAGCTGAGAATAAGGAGGAAGAGGTTGACCCACTGCTCTGTGATTCCATTTCACTTTCCAACTAGAGGTATATGGTCATTTATCTACTGGGAAGTAATTACTTTCTGAGAGCAAGAAAATTTTCACACTCTCCTCCATTATTTCACTTTCCAGTCATCAGGAGTCCCCAAGTCCAGGAACATTATGCTGTTGGAAACAAATACAGACAGGCAATGATGGTCTGCCACCTGTGGTAAATTTTTTTTTTCAGTAATGGCCCGCAATTTGTTCAAATCTCCCTGTAACCATTCCTGTAGATAAGCCCCTCAAACCCTTCCTGTAGGCTTGAACATATGTCTTAATTTGGACACTGGTACAATAACGAAATGTGATGCAAGCTGAGTCCTGAAAAGTACCTGATACCATTGGATCCCAGAGACCTCAGTGGAAATGCCCAAGCTCGTCTCCTGGAAGGATGAGACACCAAACGGAGGAGAACTGAAACACCCCAGCCAACAAACGCCATCGAAAGGACTGACCACAGACACAGAGGCTGGCAGAGCTGGCCCAGACCTGAAGAAACACACAACCAACCCATGAAGTCATGAACTCTAAATAAAGCGGTGGTTGTTTTAGACACTGTTTTGGGACGGTTTGTTATACAGCAAAAGTTAAGCAATACACTTTCTGAAACTTGAAATAGGCAGAGCATGGATGACAGCAAGAAAAACTGTGTATTTTATATATATAATTGTTAGATAACAAACAAAATATAATATGTATCTTATAGAAGAATGTTATATAGGATACTTTAGTATAACATATTACAATAAAATATATTACCACCATCTGCAAACAATGTCGTGAGTTCTCCTTTCCAAAGTTATTAGATGATAATGCTGTCTACAAACAAAACACAATAGAGTAAACTACCCTCATAACGTAAGAATGTAGTAGAGTGGTAGAATATAAAAGAATACACAGAAATTAATAACTTCCCTATATTATTAGCTAGAAAACATTGAAAATACAATTATAAAAGAGATCTACTTCACATTTGCAATGAAGTATAGTATACCTAGTTTGTTATTTTTTATAAAACTTTAATTTTTATGTTTATAAACCTATCAATTATAGAAAAATGGAAAAATAAGTAAAATTTACAATCATAAAATCTTATCCCTGTGAGCATTTTTCTTAATTTCTCTCTCCCCACTTCACTGATTCACTCCAAACATGTATCTCTGTATAAAAAGGTACATTGAAAGATTTTTTAGATCATATTTGCCAGGAACTTAGAAATCCCTGAGACATTTCCTTACTTGCAGGCTAACAAATTTCTCTGCTATAGTTTCATGGATGCTGGCTGAAGATATATGATTTCTGACTCAGAGAAAAAAATAACCTCACAATAGCATAGGCTGAGTATCCAACTCTGACAGCTCCAGCTCTCACAGGGCAACACAAAGTGGGCCAAGTGATGCGTGAACACTGCAGTGCAGGAGAGCAACCCAAGCTTAGGGACGCTGATGCACTTCACTTGCAGAACTTTTCCCCAGAGGGAGGCATTATCTGTATTATACTGTATAGTAAACAAATCTTTTCTTTGCTCCAGAAGGAGACATGGTTTATATTCTACGGCTGTTTTCTTTATAGACATTCTCAAAGACAGTCAAGAACTAGGAGGTCAGTGCCTGCAACCTGTGCAGAAACGAAAGAGACCCCAAAATTGTATCTACATTCCTCCCACCACCGCCTACAAAATCCTGTTTTTCAAAAAAAGAAAAACAACAAGTTTTTAAAATACATAACACTATGCCTTTAATGTGCTATCATATTCTGAAATGGTATTAAAAATTAATTTCTGAGTCTAGAAGCTTAATATAAATTTGATTTTATTTAGTACCACTCTAAATAGTAATAATTATAATAACTATGAGATATGAACTTTATAGTATTAAGAAAAAAATAACAATATATTGTGAGGTGACGTACAAATAAAGCCAGTCATTTCTAGTTGTAACAGTGTAGCGATTATTTTCTGCTGTAAAATTGATAGACGAAAAAGAAAAAGAGATTAGAATAAATGAACTCAATGGTAAATTTTCAAATGTAGGTGGGGCAAGAGGAATTGGTTTCTGATTAAAAAAAAGAGAATCTCAACAGAAATGCCCATGAAGCACCATCCCTTCATGGTGAGAACTGCCGGAATATCAGAACATCTAAATCAGTGAGAACTCTGTGGAGTCCTGTATGTACCAACTGTTATGGTTTAGGAGCAATCAAAGTTAAACTTAACATGGAACACCCACATTCAAGGCTACCAAGCTAAAGCTAAGGAATCCAGTCCATGGGTGGCTGTGCATCTGATCCTAAAGAGCCTGGGAATGGGGTTATTTTTGAAACATTTTATCAAGATTGTAAATATACTCTGCCCACTTTCTCTGGGTTTTACCAGATTGAGTGCATCTATTTTTAAGTGTGGAATGAACATGCAAACTACCTGTTTAGGCATAAAACGTTGTGATGAATACATGTATAGGGGAAAACAATACAATGTCGCTATCACTGTCACTATATTTTCTCCCTGAAATCTCATCTTGCAAAATAAGCTACAGAAGGAAATTGGTCATCCCACAGGACTTCATGTCTTAAGCATTTCTGAATGCATTTCACAGAATCAGAGTGTCTGGGGTTCTGACTCTGCTGGAGGATGTGGTGCTGGAGAGTGGTTTCCAATCCAAGCCTGGGTGATAGTCTTCCTGAGTTCAAATCCTGGATCTGCCACTTCCCATCTGGGTGCTTTTCACCTAACTACTTAAGCACCCTGTGTCTCCATTTCCTTAGCTGAGAAGTGGTAGTATTAATTATACTTTCTTCACAGGGTTGGTGTGTGGATTAAATAATTATAATGTCTAGAACATAATGACAGAATTCACAGAGACATAGTAATTATTCTAACTGTTATCTTTATGTATGGTAGAGACCAGAAGCAGGACATTGGTCATTGGTGTCAGCTACTTCAGGAGTTACAGAGCGGCCATGCTGCATGGGCAATATATGTCAGGGTAAGATTGTGCTCTGACATCATTGGAAGCTGCTCATTTGGCTTGCTTGTGAGCCAGAGGGTCTCAATTTGAATACTGCTGGAAAATTTTATTTTACTAAGACTTTTTAAAAGAGCAGTTTAAGCTTCACAGCAAAGTTGAGAGGAAGGTACAGAGATTTCCCATATGCCCCCTGCTCACATACTAACAGAGCCGCCCACATTATCAACATTCCCCACAGAGTGGAAAATGTGCTGAATCTACATTGTAGTTGATGAATCTACATTGACACATCATAATCACCCAAAGCCTGTAGCTTACATTATGGTTCATTCTTAGCGTTGTATATTCTATGGGTTTGGATAAATTCCATAGCTGTACTTTCACAGAATGCCATATAGTTGGAATCATACAGTATGTAGCCTTTTCAGATTGGCTTTTTCACTTAGTAATATGCATTTAAGTTTCCTCCATGTGTTTTCATAGCTTGGGAACTCATTTCTTTTTAGTGCTGAAAAAATATTCCATTGTCTGGATAGATCACAGTTTATTTATCCATTCACCTACTGAAGGACATCTTAGTTGCTTCCAAGTTTTGTCGATTATGAATAAAACTGTTATAAACATCCACCTGTAGGTTTTTGTGTAGACATAAGTTTTCAGTTCCTGTGAGTAAATATCAAGGAGCACAATTGTCAGATCATATGGTAAGAGTGTGTTTAGCTTTATAAGAAACCATCAAACTGTCTTCCAAAGTGCTGTACCAATTTGCATTGCTACCAGCAACGAATGAGAGTTCCTGTTGCTACACATCCTCACCAGCATTTGGTGCTATCAGTGTCCTGGATGTGGGCCATTCTAATAGATGTATAGTAGAATCTAACTTTTGTTTTGATTTACATTTCCCTGATGACATATGAGGTTGAGCATTTTTTAACATGCTTATTCATCATCCTTATATCTTCTTTGGTGAGGTGTCTGTTAAGGTTTGGTTTTTTTTCCCATTTTTTAATAGGGTTATTTTCTTATTGTTGAGTTTTAAGAGTTCTTTGTATATTTTGCATAAGTCCTTTATCAGATGTGTTTCTCCCAGTCTGTGGTTTATTTTCTCATTCTCTTGGCATTGTCTGTTGAAGAGCAGAGTTTTTCATTTTAATGAGGTCCAGCTTATCAATTACTCTTTTCATGGATCATTCCTTGGGAGTTGTCTTATCTAAAAAGCAATGGCCATGATAAAGGTCATCTAGGTTTTCTTCTATGTTATCTTCTAGGAGTTTAATAGCTTTGCATTTTATACTTAGGTCCACGATCCATTTTGAGTTAATTTTTGTGAAGGGTAGGGTCTTTGTCTAAATTCATTCTTTTGTATATTGATGTCCAATTGTTCCAGCACTGTTGTTGAAAAGTGACCTTTGCTCCCTGTACTGCCTTTGCTCCTTTGTCCTATATTTATGTGGGTCTGTTTCTGGGCTGTCTGTTCTGTTCCATCCATCTAGTTGGCTATCCTTTTGCTGCACCATCTTGATTACTGTAGCTTTATAGTAAGTCTTACAGTTGAGTAATGTCAGTCCTCCAACTTTGTTCATCTCCTTCAATTTTGTGCTAGCTATCTCCTGAAACATTTTTTAGAGAGTGTACCTCTGAAGACTTACTTTTGCAGCTTTAAAATATTTGTAAACATTCAAGAGTTCCTCATGCATCTCCTTGAAAGGAGTGAGGTTACTGTGTATTTAACAACGAGCCTTGCTCAAGTATGCTAGGTATTTGGAATATAAAAAGGGAGAAATTTGAATTCCTAGACTCAAGGAAGTTATATTCTATTAGAAAAGCGACCTGGTTAAACACATGTTATCATACCCTGTGATTATTGCAGAAATAATGATTACTCCGAGGGCTGGTGTGGAGCAGAGGCTGAGTATCAGCTGCAGTGGAGGTTAGGGAAAGCTTGACTGATAATAGAGATGATTAAATTGGTTCCTTGTGGATGTTCAGGGATTAGCTCATGCAAAGAGAGGCCTATAGAGGAGAATGTAGCTTGGTACAGTTGTAGAGTATGAGGCAAGAAGAGAGAACAGATGTTATACAGCTGGGTCAGATTATATGAAGTTTTGTATGTCATAGAAAAGGAGTTATTCTAGTCAGGAGTTATTTAAGATTATCAGGTAACAATAAGGCATGAGCATACTTGTGTTATTAAAAAGACATATCTCTCATATGCCTTATTGGAGAGGACATTACCAACCCCTCTGCTGGAGCCCTGAACATATTGAGGTAGGATAATAAAAGGAGATGTTAGGTAAGCAAGGGAAATAAAAGATGGAAGGATTCAGCACAGTGATACATTGGAGTTTTGTCACAACAGCCTGGAAAGAGCAAAGGAAAAGTTCATGTGTTGTGTAGATGTGGCCCTCTAACATGACATAAGTTTCTTCATCCCTTCTCTAATACATGCTGCGACCCCTTTTGAGTTCCAAAGGGAAAACCCAGTGGGAGTTCTGTTAAATGTCCTCAAATGGGCTTCCCTGGTGGCGCAGTGGTTGAGAGTCTGCCTGCCGATGCAGGGGACACGGGTTCGTGCCCCGATCCGGGAAGATCCCACATGCTGCAGAGCGGCTGGGCCCGTGAGCCATGGCCGCTGAGCCTGCGCGTCTGGAGCCTGTGCTCTGCAACGGGAGAGGCCACAACAGTGAGAGGCCTGCGTATCGCAAAAAAAAAAAAAAAAAGGTCCTCAAATGGAGTGAGTAAAAACATAAGAGAAACCATTAAGGATTGCTATATACCATCCACCTGAA